TTCAGTGCCGCTTTCGTTGTGTGCAAATTGTGCACACCTTCTTGCTTGTTACTCCGGGGGTGGCAGTATGTACCAGTCTCCATTGGTTCCTCTGAAACGCGGCATCTACCCACAAACGTTAGATACGTGTGCACACGGCTCTGCAATCGTTTCTGCAGTGCAACCATTATTCTTTCCTCCTCCCATTGCATAATGATTGATGATATGTACATATAATTTCCACATAGCTCTATGAACTCTTTTTTTTTTTTAACTCTTTCATGTCATGCTCTGGGCTACCTGAGGTATGCTCTCTGTATCCTCTGCTTGGTCTATTGTCTTTTTGGTCATGTGTTTTGTACACCATAATATTCTCCCATTGTACAGTTGTTTGGGATGCGCATATATGACGTTCCTTAAACTCCTTCGCAATTTCTCAGATGTCTCGTTGCTGAACGCGATACTTTCCGAGATTGAAGTCTTATTATAAGTTACTATGCATTTCTCTACATGTCTTTTACAGCATAATAATCATGTTATATGTCATATGTTATATGTTTATTAATGTGTATGTGAGCGTAGAAAAAATCTGATGAAACTGTCTGTCAACACATCATATTGAGCGCACAGTCTCAACAGCTCTGAAGAAGGGAAGGGAGTTTGTGAGCATGGAGTAGTTGAAGGTAGGAAGGAGGAAAAAGAGGGGCGCAGGTAAAGAGGAGAACCAGAGAGTAAATAAACCCACCCTCGGTGGAAGGGGGGTCGCTGGAATCTCCAGCCATGATTCTTTGGTGCTTGATCTTCAATGATATTTTTCCAAATTCATAGAATTATCTTGTACCAAGTCACAAATCTGTTGGAAGGGGGGTCGCCGGAATCTCCAGCCATGATTTTTTCGTGCTTGATCTTCAAGGATATTTTTCCAAATTCATTGAATTATCTTGTACCAAGTCACAAATCTGTTTGGCCAAATAATAAGGTCCATTCACACCAATAATCCAATGTTTCTCATTTCAGACATAATAGCCGTTGAAGTTTGAAATCTCTTTAAAAATACGACAATACAGGGTTTAATCGAAGTCAGTGTTCCTGTCTATATTCTCTGCCGGCTAGCCTCCAGAAGTTCGCTAGAGGCCTCGCTCCGTCCTCGTGAGAGTAAAGCCGCTTGGGATAAGGGAATGTATTTTTGTAGGGATATTGTGAACAATGTATTCTTAGTTAAAAATGAAAAAACAAAACTATATCTTCCACAAGGAAGGCAAAATCGGTGGACGAAGCAAGGTTTCGGGAATTGCTCCACCATCGAGCCTCCTTATGTATGATTAGCATCGCCATTGTAGCCCATGCGTGTAGCCCAGCCCATACGGGCAGTCCGGAATTCTGTCATCCCCACATCCCTCCAGTAAATCACTGGCGGTCTTTTTTCTGAGTGCAATACATCACTGTGATGTCTTACCAACACAAAACGTGCAGTCCGCTTGTTATAGGACTTAACCCAACGTCTCATAACACGAGCTAAGTAGCACCTTCATGAAGTTGAAGTGCAGCACTTCGTTGTGATGTCTGAGCAACACAAAAGGTGGATTGCACGGGATTGCGCTTATTATAGGGGAGGCAATCTAATGTCTCATGACAGGAGCTGACAGCAACCATGCAGCAGCTTTATGAAGTCCAAATACATCCTATTCTTATGGGCTTGTTGTTTCTGTCAAATGTCGAGGGCTGGTTTGGTTTTGCTCTCTCTCTCTCTCTCTCTCTCTTTGTTTTCTAGAGCTGAACTTCACTGCCAAAAGATAATGCACATAAGCATTTGGCTGAAGTAAGGTAGAGATTGTGGAGCCCATATGGTAGTGGGAGGGGAAATGAAGGGTGCCCTCTTCCCCTGCCCCCCTTCCCGTTTGTCTAACCCACCCATCCGGCAAGGTACAGACACACAAGGTGTGGCCACTTAGCAAAGGCAACACTTGCTCCAAAGTACACATATATGACGGGCCTCCCACCTTTCAGATTTTTTTTTTTTTTTTTAATTAGATGATGCTCCAAATCTATTTGTGGGAGCAACACGGCTGGGAACCGGGCCCATCGTCCCGTATGAAAGTACAGAATCATGAAATACCGGGCACATCACCCGGTTTAGACTAAGAACACTATAGGTGATGAAGAGTTTCATAAAAAGATTCAGATCCTGATGTACCGAAGGTCCTCCCGACCACAAAAAAAATAGATGGAAACTCAAACAATCCCCTCTATGAACACGCTGGCATGGCCGTTTACAGTGAAAAACCGGATCTCTACTAGGCCTCATGCCCCCATCAGGCTAGGTTACAGAGTTGCACCACCTTGCTCCAGCCTCCGGCCCGCATTGCACAAGCTCCGACCCCGATGACTGCTGAGACTGCCCCCACAAACAGCCTCCCAGATCTCTTCCAGGCCTCACGCCCCCTTTAGGCTAGGTGACAGAGTTGCGCCACCTCGCTCCAGCTCCGGCCAGCGTTGCTCCAGCATCGGTCTTCGAGGGCCGCAGTGTTACAACCAAACTCAGCAGAATCACAGATGGGTTGCTGGATGCCACCTATTCCTAACACCTCCTCGAGAGGCAAAACCAATTAAAGAGAATTGAGAGAAAATTGCTGGACTGGATGTTTAAAAATCTTCGATTGTCCATTTGCAAGACGTAGGATACAGCAGATGCTGTGTCCCACCAGTGCTTGATTAACTGCTGCTGGCCGAATGCACCAGCTGCGGCAGGACAGGCAGAACACAACAGCTTCTGTATCCCCTACAGAATCTCAAGATGCTGTGTGTGGACTCAATCTTAAGTTTGAGTCTGAGTGTGGACTGAAATGGCGGGAGGGAGAAAGGACTATGGCGGGAGGGAGAAGGGAGGTCTATGGTGGGAGGGAGGACGGAGGACTATGGCCGGATGGAGGAGTATGGAGGGAGAGAGGAGGAAGGAAGGCAGCCACGTGGAAGGAGGGAGAAGGGAGAAGGGAAGCTATGGTGGACTATGGCGGGAGGGAGGTCTATGGCGGGAGGGAGGAGGG